TTTTCATAGAAAATATTCGTCCTTTGACAGGATTCGAACCTGCATCCTATACGGAACCGTCATTTACGCTGACGTGCCTTACCGACCGGCCACAAAGGAGCGTTCGGTAGACAAGGTCGAATTTACTGCTTATAAACTTCAATCTTCCATGATGTACAAGATTCATGGAAGATTTCTGTGAAAGTTTCTCGGACATTCAGGCCGGTAAATGTTATTTAATACTGTTTATTATAAACAGAGCATTTACTTAAATACTTGTATCTATAAAAAAGAACGTTAAACATAAAAATGTCTTTAATAAATATATATGTATGTATGTATATAAAGCAGATTTTGACAAGTTTCGAAGCCCATGAAAAGTCTAAAAGAATGCTACGCAAGGCGATCCTTCGCCTTGATGCTAACCCAATGTTATATAGGAATAAAGTGTCGCTGCCGACACTTGAGTTTGAACATAGATCGCCAGTGAGCAAACACAGGCGATCCCATTATTGAATTAAGTAGACCACGTGACCATAGAGGAAACCAATAAGTAGGAGTTTGCGTGACGCGTAACTATCGTTACTTCTGTTCTATCCTCTATTAAAGTTCGGATCGCTATTTCTATTCTATCCTCTATTACTATACGAATCTGCCTTTATAGTCTATACTATTACTCTACTCTATTCACTATACACTATTTCTTTATTCGGATCACTATACGGATTAATATTCGAGCGAGTATTATCGAGCAAGTACTATTAGTACGAGTGTTATTCGAAGGCGTCTGGCACCAGCATTGTTCAATGGCGTTACTATAATTGTATCTGCGATTACAAAGTCTCTACCACAACAAAAATTGAGTCAATAGCTTCGTCCACCGCAAGGAAAGTTGACTCCCTATACCGCGCCAGAAAAGTTTTCTCGCCGGAGTCGATCCTTCAAATCTAAAAATCAACCATTCGCCCTTGCATGGAGTATTGCTGCCATATATGGTCCGGTACCCCTTATGTTTGTCTCAAGGTTCTTGATAAGATCCAGTGACGGATATGCAACGTAATTGGCCCTGATCTGGCATCTCGTCTGCAGTCGCTCTATCACAGACGTGCCGTCGCTCCCCTCTGTCTTTTTTACAAATACTTTCATGGTAACTGCTCTGATGAGCTGCTTTCGCTGGTTCGCAAACTTCATGAATTTAAGCGTTCTACTAGGCTGTAATCTCGCTCACACTCTTTCACTGTCGAAACTGTTAAATGTAGCCATCTCTTCTACTCCAATAGCTTCATGTCTCGCCTGTGAAACACCCTCCCCTCTTCCTGTTTCCCTGATAGCTATAATCTCCAACTATTCAAATGTAATGTCAATCGACGTCTCCAGATTCCTTGATCTATCCCCTATCCTTCTCTTCATCCTTTCTTCTATCACTCCTATTTGCTCTCGCTCCAACTCTCTGTAACCCCTTGAGTGCTAGTGGCTTCCCGCCTTGCTTGGGGTGAAACGCTTAAAAAAAAACAAAGAAAAAGAGTATTCAATGACATCACAAAAGTGGCAACGAGTGTTCGTTGACATGAAAAATAATTCGGATGCGCAAAAATGAAAGTAATTTTAATAATAACTTTGGAGGAAATAAAGAAATTCTAAAGAATTAATTACTTTGTTTCTAGAATTTGTTTCTGACAGATTGAGAAGCCGTCATCCAAAGACCTTCTATGATCATTAGTAATGGTTGGTCCGCTTATAAAGGGCTAAAAATGATTCGGGGTACAATCACAAAGTTATAAATAATTAAATGAAAATAATTTTATTGATTTAGAAATTTTACATGAATCTTTAGTTCATAATCAAACAATAGAGAATTGTTGGATTCATCTTAAAGCGTTTTGCCAGAGAAAAAGGGACCAACAAGCAGCCGCACGAATGGGAATATATATATATATATATATATATATATATATATATATATATATATATATATATATATATATACCGCCTTGAAATTCTTTTCTGATTAAATATTCCCATTGATAAGTTCTCAGATCTAAAATTGTTCTTTTATGGATAATGACCTAATGATTTTCGAAGACTTTATTGTAAAGGTCATATTCCACAATAGTCACTTAATTAATTCTAATTATGTTTTTTTTTCAGGTACTATTGGCCCGCTCGTGAAAATAGGAGAAAATATTGTTGTAAAACTGAAGTCTAACTAAAATAGGGCTCATAATTCGCAAGTTAAAATTTTTTTTTATATCTTGTATTATTTTTTAAAATATTTTCAAATACATTTTTCCTCTGAATATACATTCATATATATATATATATATATATATATATATATATATATATATATATATATATATACCCAAGTATATAATTGGTATATACGGAATGAATTCCAATAACCAACAATTACTATTCTTAAAAGAGTGCTCAATACAAAGTAGAGCAGATATAATTATTATTTATAAAAAAATTATAACATAAATATGTTATAAAATCACTACAAAAAATAGAAATATCCGCCCTAATTTAGTTTTAACCATTATATTGAAAGGGGGAGTGAACCAAATGATCTTTCTAGATCTTCTTTTCTTATTATGGTTGCAATTAACAGGGTTTTTATATTGAATAGTGGTATTTTTGTATCCACTATTTTTGAGGGCAGAATTGTAAAAATCACGATGTTTATTAAAAACATCCTTGTTATAAGAGTTAGCGCTAATTCTAAATTCAATGGAAGAGGGTATGTGCTTGATAACTGAAGGGGGATGGTTTGAATTTGGATGCACGTATATTCGGTTGGAATTAACCTTCACATATGGTTGGAAAGTGTTGTTAGCAAGGTCTAGGGTGACATCTAGAAAATCCACTTGTCTAACATTAGTTGTAACTATTGTCCTAAGACCTAAATCCTTAAATACCCTATGGATCATTTTCCTAATACAGTCTACCTTAATTTTAGTGGAGTTTTTAACAACTAATAATCCATCATCTCTATACAATACTACACTATCTAGATTGTCTAGATTCTGATAGAGTAGGATTGTATAGAGATGATGGATTATGAATCAAACCTGTATCCTATACCGAACCGTCATATAGTCTGACGTGCCTTAACTGATTGGGCCACAGAGAAGCGTTCAGTTAGCAAGGTCGATTTAAACTACAATCGATTCCTGTCGGAGGACGAATATTTCCTATGAAAATTTCTCGGACATTCGGGCTGGTAAATGTTGTTTAATACTGTTTATTATAAACAGAGCATTTACTTAAATATTTGTATCTATAAAAAAGAATGTATAAACATAAAAATGTCTTAAAATAATTGTCGGACTTTGTCCATTTCATAATATATATATATATATATATATATATATATATATATATATATATATATATATATATATGTAAGCAAATATATGGATATAAATCCGACATTATGAAAAAGAAAATACAGAAAAAACAAAATTCTGAATATGCATTATTAATGTTAAAATAAAGTCGACGTCGGACGTTTCGGTCTATTTAAGACCATCTTCATGGACATTTTCATTTAAACATAATTAACATTATAACTTATAACAATTTAACACAAAAGACGATGGACATAAGAACCCAACTGAAGTTGGGTTCTTATGTCCATCGTCTTTTGTGTTATTAAACGGGTGGACTGGGAACAAAAGCAACTAAGAATTGGTTCCAGCCTCCTCAAAACCTCCAATCACCCGATCAGAAGCCTTGCTGCCAGATGCAGTTTATCGTCATACCAGGGATGAGAGAACATTAGTAATTTCTTTTACAAAAAAAAAAAAAAATAATTATTGCTAGTAATTTTTAAGCAAGAAAATGTATTGCTGGTATCATACTTATTACAAAACCCAGGTTGCGTGTATGTGTGTCTGTTCTACTGCTAGTTTTTACTATAGAAATGTATTTTTATACTTTCATAGTGTTTTGACAACAATTTGGGGGTTAAGTTTACCCAGATGAGAACCTAACAGGTGCAACCAGGTGAGCTACCCTCATAATACTTATCTCTTGCAGCCTCCCTTACAATCTCACTCGATAACCCTCTACCTTAAGTGGTCTTAGAGCCTTGTATCGGGTGAAATATTCTCATATTAATCTCTTACTTCTTCCTTCCTCCTCCTTCTCCATTACAATCTCACCGTAATCCTCTACGTTGAGGGGCTCTTGGGCATTGTATCTGGTGAACTATTCTCATAATACTCTCTTTCTTCTTCCTTCTGCCTCCTCCATTATAATCTAACTGTAACCCTCTACCTTGAATGGCTCTTGGGTCTTGCATTGGGGGAACTATCCTCATAATATTCTCTTACTTCTCCCTTACCCCTCCCTTGCAATCTCACTCAGTAACCCGCTACCTTGTCTTGTTGACTGATTGACATTTACTGATTGACGGGACAATTTAAAGGTAGGATGAAGAGGTTAGCTTTTGTGCTAAGGATATTGTAATGTAACCAACTGTAATCTGACAAAATCGCTTATTCGGCAGCCAGTACCTGTTTTATATTGAGTTACTATGGGTGTCTGATAAAACTAAAAAAAATAAAGATATAAGAACAGAAGTGATTTAATGGTGTTTTCTTGAACCATTTTGGAATAATTTGGTGTAAATGGGTCCCTGTAGTTGGAATGAGCCATTTAAATATGATGGACCTCTTCAAGGTTTCCGTTCCCATATGATCACCGAAGTTAACTAACTTCGAGCCTGATGATCTCTATCTAAAAGAGTAACCACTTGGGAAAACCAGGTGATGTAAGCTTGGGTGTGCGGGTGGTGCAATGGATAAAGGCTCAGAATTATGAATTGGAGAGCCTAGTTCCAATTCCCGTTGTGTTTGTTATATACACCTACTCAAAAATACACTTGGGTAAGGTATGAAACTATCGCTTCTCTACGCATCTAGGTACTGACCAGGCTTGACATTGCTTAACTGATTATTGTTTGAGAATCGGTGTTTCCCTTTATACCACCTGCACATCAAAGTTTACAGGAACTGATATTCTCAACAGGTCACCCATCTAGGTGCTGACCAGGCTTGATATTGCTTAACTTCGGTGATCATATGAGAACCAGTGTTTCAACATGATATACTTGTAAGCCCTTTATACCACCTGCACATCCAAGTTTACAGGAACTGATATTCTCAACAGGTCACCCAACTAGGTAATGACCAGGCTCGATGTTGCTTAACTTCGGTGATCATATGTGAACCGATTTTTCAACATGATATATTTGTAAACCCTATATACCATCCGGCATATCCATGTTTACAGGAACTGATATTCTCAAGAGGTTACCCATCTAGGTACTGACCAGGCTCAACATTTCTTAACTTTGGTGATCATATAAGAACTGGTGTTTCAACATGATATATTTCTAAGCGCTTTATACCACCTGCACATCCAAGTTTACAGGAACTGATATTCTCCAGAGGTCACCCAGCTAGGTACTGACTGTGCTCAATGTTGCTTAACTTCGGCGATCATATGAGAACCAGTGTTTCAACATGATATGGTTGTAAGTGCTTTATACCACCTGCACATCCATGTTTTCAGGAACTGATATTCCCAAGAAGTTACCCATCTAGGCAATGACCAGGCTCAATGTTGCTTAACTTCGGCGATCATATGAGAATCTAGGTACTGACCGGGCTTGATGTTGTTTAACTTTGATGATCCTATAAAAACTAGTGTCTCACTGTGATGTGGCTTTAAGCCTTTAAGTTAATTGATAGACTCATGTAAGAATCTGTAAAGCAGACTATTGCCCACCTTGCCAAAAAATTGTGGTCCATCCTTGAATGAGATGAATATGAGAATAGAAACAAGCGATAAAACCTTTTTACAAATGTGAATTTTAGCAGAAATTAAAACCTGCATATCCCGCTTATTCCCATGGCCAAAATTCCTTGTTATTCCTAATTTTCATGAACGACCTTCCTGATGTTATCAATTCTCAACTCTGTACTTATATTGATGAAACGACTATTAACTCTAGTTTTAGTAGTATATCCGATAAAGTCAAATCAGCAGCTCGTCTAAAAAAATAACCTACAATTAACTGGGGCAAAGAATGGCGTGTTAATTTTAACGACTCCCAATCAAAACCGCTCTTTTTTTAATCAGAGAGTGCTGATTTTCTGTTCAAGATCATTCTCACCCCAGCTATGAACACCTATGTCGTCACTATTACCCGCCCATCTTTTTCCAGATAAGCAATATGTCGAATTCAGTAACTGGATTCAAAATACGGGTCTCCACTGCTTTCATTCCAATTCAAGATCCTATTTTTTTTATTTTGTAAAGGTTTATCTTAAGTCCCATTTCTTGGATCAGAGAGATAGAACTGATTTTCTGTTCAAGATCATTCTTATCCCAGCTATGAACACCCATGCTATCACTATAGCCCGCCCATCTTTTTCTAGGCACACAGTATGGCTTTCGTTTCTCGAGGTCAACTACTGATGTATTAATGATTATTTCTGAAAGAATCTATGAAGCTTTAGATAAGAATGGTAAAGCTGGCACTGTGGCTTTGGACATCTCGATGGCATTTGAAAGAGTTTGGCTTATTCTTCAAAAGTTGAAAAGTTATGATATCTCTGAACAAATTTTGGACCTGATTCAGTTTTATTTTATCAAATGAATTTTATCTTGAACGGCAACTCTTCTATATCTTTTTGCATTAATGAAGGTGTACCCTGCCCCAGGGCTCTATTCTTCGACCTGCATTGGTACTAATTTTCATCAACGACCTTCCTGATATCTTCAATTCTCAACTCTGTATCTAAACTAATGACACGACTATTTACTTCGGTCTTAATAGTAAATCTGATCAGTTCAATATTGTCAAATTGATAGCTCATCTAAAAAAATAACCTACAATCAGTGACGAAATTGGCAGTCGATTTCAGTTCGTTTACAGCAGCCAAACCGAAATGTTGCTTCTTTAATCCAGTCTCCCTAATGACCCGGGCACAGAAGTTCGCAGTTGGCAATTTGAGAAAAGTGAAGGCTCGCTGTTGCCCGTTCATTGAATATGTCCTCGCCTGGGCATAATAAACGAATTTGGTCCGTTTGAATCTGGAGTCCTAAACATGACTTCTCCAGACACAGGAGTATCTCCAGATTATATGTAAGGCACACCTGTTTTGTTTCCCCTTACACGCTGCTTTGCTGTGTAGGTATATGTGATATATTATTCTCCGCGTGAGACACATGTGTATACATAGTTTTGTGTATATCTTTGTAATATAAAAGTCTCTCAGAGAACAAAGCATGTTTGTCACTCCTTTTCATTTCAGCCATTCTGTTTCGTCCGTGAAGTACGGTGTTATATCACAGACTAGCAGTAGAGCGCGGCGTTGCCCGGGGATGTAACAGTAAGAGATAGATCAAGTATCGACCATCATAAAGACTGAAAAATAAAATTGACAAAGATTATTGTTTAAGGTTGACGGACACGCATGTCTTAATTAGTTTTTTTTTTTTTTTACGAATTGGTCAAACCCAAACTCAAACAAAAACATTGTTTACAATCGTTATGAGTCTATCGATTGGCGAATAGAATTTTATTATAAACAATTGTCTTGTAAATGGAATTTTTAAAGCATTCTGAATGTAAATAAAGAAAAAAGTGTTCAAGACAATAAGAAATACTACCTGCCGAAAAAAAAAGTGGATGTTTGTTTTATCGGCTGAAAAATGTAAGAAATCCGATCCCATATATAAAGGAACACACACACACACACACACACACACACACACACACACACAACCTGGGTTTTTTAACCTAAGTCACTCCACGGAATCGCTACAACATAGAGCATAGCCTGATGAAAAAGACGCTAAAATTTATGAAAACAAAATTTTATCGTCAAAATGCTTATGTTTTTATGAAGAGGATAGACTAAATTTTTTTTTAATTATTTTTAAAAAATTTTCCATCTTTTTAGAATATTCTTAATTTTGATTTAAAAAAAATTTTTTCTCTTTGTCGCAACAAGGGGATGTAAATAACATAGATAATTTTTAGCTCGTTTTTTTGTATTTACACACATTAATTTGGAAAATCTTGCAAAAATAAAAATAATTGTCAGATGTTAATGAAACTTTCAGAAACTATTCACAGATGATCGAAATTATTATAAATATGTATTTTTTATTAAAGTCATGGCAGAAATATTTTTTTATATTTATTAACACCCCATAACTAATTTTATGAAAAACTCTAGAAATTCGAGACCATCGGTTTTAGTGATTACAATAGTTAAAAAGCACAAGGCTTTGAAGAATGCAAATCATGTATTTTTTTTTTTTTTTTTTTGGCCAACGTACCTGAAAATCAGCTGTGAATTGTAACATACAAAACTCAATAAAACAAATATATTATTTAGTTTCAAATGCTTTTATTCATTTTAATTTGTTTTTATGAATATGGACAATATTTTCTGGAAGCAAAAAATTTTTTCAACGAAAATTGAATTTTTAATACAATTATTTCTTATTTCTTTAATTTTAAAAAGATTTTTTAAAAAATGTTTAAATTGAATTTTAAAAATATTTTAACATTAGTTAAAAGCAACATCAACCTTTCAAAATGTCCGTGTGAGATTGTCATTGTCTAGCGCTTTGAAAATTGTATAATTTGGACCAATCAGATTAGCCATGGTAATTAAGAAATGTAATTTTTGTGTTTATAGTCGGACAGTAATTATCAAGTACGGAAGACCAACCAGAATACAATTTAGTTGCATTATTTGAGTTCAGCATTGTTCTCCGCTGTTAAGCCCTTTACTTTTATGAAACACGTATGGAGAAGTTAATTTGAGTTTTCAATTTCAACTGAGAAGGGTACCTACAAGTAACAGTATCATCTTATGAAATTTAACTACTGCTAAACTTTAATTTATATGATCTTATTTTTATATTAATCTCAGTTATGACATTTTTCCATAAATGAAATATCAAAATTAATAATAAAATGAATGGAAATACAAATAACACAATAAAATGTAATAAATGTACATAAAATTATAGTATTTTATGTACACTTCTGATAAAATTTCATAAGAAAGGTACCTAAATTAATTAGATACCTTTTTCTTACGAAATTTAATCTCACTATTAACAGTCTTATTTTTTAATTTCTTTATATTTTCCATAAAGCATCGTAAACGTAAAAATGAAAGCTAAGTACAAAAAAAAAAAAAATAAAAAATTAGAGCGCTGAAAGTTTTCCTTAAAAGTAACGAGGTAAATAATTTGTTCACTTAAATAATTTCACTTCCTTCCATCCGTAGAAAGAATTACCCTCCCGTAAGTTATCTAAACGTCATGAATGTGCCTTTCGTCAATCGTCAAGCGACGCGAAAGGTTTATGACCTGCTTTGTTTTATTTTCAAATTACATTTTTTCGGCGCAGAAGCTAAGTTAAGCTTGGTTCAAAATATTTTAAATAAACAGTATAATATCTGTTTTTATTAAAATCAGTTTTGAAAAAATGATAATTGATTTTTGAAAGAATATCTAAGTCAGATTTTAATCTTTTTTATCAAATAGAAAAAAATGAAAAATGATTGATTATCTGTCCTTTTTTTTTACCAAAAAAAAACAATATTTTTAACGAAAATTTCAGACGTGCTAGGAACGATTAAAAAATGTAAAAAAAATACTTCAAAAATACTTTGATCTTTCCTCTTTAATAATAATATGAACATTAGACGATAAAATTTTGTTTTCGTCAAGTTCGGTGTCTTTTTCATCATGCTATGCTCTTTTGTTTACATTTTCGTGGGTGAGTTGTCCCGCTTTCATTCTCACGATGTGTCTTAATCGTGTTTTCAAATTGATTTTCTTAAAAAACAACTGTGTTTTTTCCCATTTTCGGCGCCGTTAGAACCACCAAAAGGTAATTTTATGTAGTCCTGTAAAGTTTTGTTGAAATCGGCTAAAAAATGTAGGAAATTCGATCCAACATATAAACGTTACAGACACACACACACACACACAACCTGCGTTTTATAATAAGTAAGATATGATAATGCCCATAATGGGAGAATAATAAATGGGAGAATACATCCTTCTTCCATAGCTTTCTCCTATTATATATTAAAAACAAAAAATAAAAATAGAAATATATTTTCCTATGATGCTAGTAATATAGGAACTAACTGTAAATTTTATGACCCAACTTAGCTTCCTCAAATGCCCATTAGGTGGCGCTGTTTAAGCCTATAAATACAAAACATTTCCTTCCTCATTCTTTTTCTCCCTCTGGCTCTAAGATGTAGCACAACGTGGAAATTACGCCCTTGCTGGGGACACGTTCGCTTACCCAGTCCACTGACAGCGGAACTCTTTTTTTCCGCTCTCGAACGCATGCCGTTCGCACGTGTCTTCCAAAACCTCCACGTATGAAGTAAATCAATCAGTGCAAGCTTGAGTATTATAACTACCGATGAAGGAAGTACACACTTTGCTTGGTCGTTCCAACGCAGCACAAGGCTGACTTGAGCTCG